CCCTCCAACCAAAAGAGAATTGAGACACCCCTGCCCCTTCACGTGAACGCGCGAAATGGAGGGGTAGGGGAAAGGGGAAGGGCTAAGGGGTAGAATTGGGATTGGGCCTTAATATGAATAATGCAAACTTTTGCCAATAAGAAATATTTCATATTAATCCATTGGTCAGTGTGGTATAAAGTTAATTTTGGACCCTTGGAAGCCTGATCATTGTATCATTTTAACCTTTTTTTTTTTCCTTGCGTTCTGCAGCTGTGGACATCAGAAAACCAGGGTGATGAGGGGGATGCTGGCGAGGGCGAGAACTAAAGGCGTTGCACTTCACTGTTAAATCCACCTACACTCTTTATCTTACACATATACAGCCCATAATTCCCTGCTCCATCCAATCCACCTCACCTTTATCCACCTTTCTGTATGACGAGCCGCATGAATTGTACCTGACCTACAAGGTTGTACCCCTGAAGCAACGAGCGGCAGGGAAAAGTTTGGTTTTTCCAAGGCTGACTTGTCTCAAACATGTCTGATTGTGTATTTTCCCCCAGACGAGGGAAAATTGTTGAATAGTGGAAACGATTTCCATCTTTTTTTCCCTTCCTAAAATCCCTCCTAACATTTTATAAAAGGTATATATTCTCTGGTCTAGCAGGATATAATACATTATAGTGTCCACCCCCCCACCATTTTTCCCTTCTGTCGCTTCTCTCCAGTAGTGTACTGGCGATTGCTGGTTTTATTCAAAAGGTTATTAAACTGTCCATTAATTTAACAAACACTGTGACGTTTAGTTTTTCCTTCTGGATAGCTTGTGCTTAATGGAAATCGGAATGGTTTCGTTACAAATAGCAGTACAATTCTGTTGCGATCTCATACAGAAGGGATGAAAACGGGCTGTATTGTGACACTGACTAACATGCATTACTATTATTGCTGTCATGTGCGTAATTTTGCATACACGGCTGACGACAAAAGGGACTCGAGATTTGCAATTCCATGTCTATTCAGTTTTAAGTTAAAGACATTCCATTAGTGTGTGATGATTACAGACCTTTCGTGAACAAACTGGAGAGTTTCCTAATGTGCTGTCAATGAGGCAGTCAACATAAAGGTGCTGTTTGACATCAGTAAACGATTTTCCTGGTTTGTTCTGTACATTTTTTTTCCCCCTTTGACGTAATATTGCCCACACGCACTTCCATTTAATAAAGATGTAAACATTTTAGAGGTAAATATTTGTCTTAAAACTAAATACTTGCAAAAACACTTTATTTTTTTATAAAGTTATTCAACCCTCTCACGAACAGAAGTCGATGCTTGATGTTTCCCTCTTCATGTAAATCAGAAGGAATTTTGGGGCCTTAGACTGACTTTGAACTTCTCTACACTTCATTCCTGCTAAGAGGAATTTCTGTAAGACCTTAGCAGTTCAACTGAGAAATTCTGGCTTTAACTTGAATTATGGTGCAGGGAAGTGCTGCAATCCAGTGGAGGCTTTGATGTCTTGGCCCAAAGTCTGTGAAACACAAGCCGAGACCTCAAACATTTTTATAGGGGTAGTCACTTGCTCAGTGTCACAATACCTTGTCACATCACCATAACATTCCACTTAGGTGTAGAACTCATCTGTCTCGAGCTGAAGACAATGTTCATGCACTGAAGACGAAATCTGTCTCTCTTAGCTGAACAAATGGCAGTTATTCTACGCTTGATTACAAAAAATACAGTAGTGAATGTGGAGCCGAGCCTGTCTGTATATCTGGTATCTCCAATTGCTTTGTTTTTACTGACCAGTATTCTGCCTAAAGTTAGCTTCTGTGACGGTTTAATTGCTTAGCGCGCACGTGGTTGTGAAAATTTAGACTAGCTTAAGGGAAAAAAAAAAATGTATAAAATGACAAAAAAAATATAAAACCTGGTTATTGACGTAATACTAGATTTGTGTATGTCTTTTAAAACAGTTCTAGTTTCACCTTACATGTTATAATCAGGAAAGTGTAAAAGACAATTTAAAGTGAAATAAAAGTTTTATCAGTTCCAAATTGCGCTGTATTGTGTTTTTGTAGTGGTGTACATTCAATTCAGAAGACACAAGCAGCACGGTCTTCTCACTCTCCTATAAAGATTTAAATGGTGTGTACATTTTTATGCCTATTTAAATAAGCATTTAAGGGAATGTTCCAGGTTCAATACAAGTTAAAGGAATGGTTTACCAAATTTGTTGAAAATGTACTCATCCTCAGGCCATCCAGCATGTAGATGAGTTTGTTTGTTCATAGGAACAGATGTGGAGAAATGTAGCAATACATCACTCGCTCACCAACGGATCCTCTGCAGTGAATGGGTGCCGTCAGAATGAGTAAACAGCTGATAAAAACATCACTGTAAACTACAAGTAATCCACACCACTCCAGTCCATCAGTTAACATCTTGTGAAGCAAAAAGCTGCGTGTTTGTAAGAAACAAATCCATCAAGATGTTTTAAACCGTTGCTTCTGGTCAAAATATGAGCATTATAAGTCCTTCAAAACCTACTGACATTTGTTTAGACCGGTTTTGGATTTTTTGCTTGTTAACGGTGCTTGATCTGTGCCTATTTCTCCCGTTTCACTCAAGATGATGTTTTCATTGGAGAAAGCAATAGTATGAATAGAAGATTCTAACCAGAAGTAATGGTTTGAGGTTAAAAATGTCTTAATGGATTTATCACAAGGACTCAGCTTTTGGCTTCATAAGATGTTAACTGATGGACTGGAGTGGTGTGAATTACTTGTGGATTATTGTGATGTTTTTATCGGCTGTTTGGACTGATAAACGGCTTCTGACGGCACCCATTCACTGCAGAGGATGCACTGGTGAGCAAGTGATATAATGCTACATTTCTCTGATTCTGTTCTGATAAAGAAACACTCAACTACATCTTGGATGGCCTGATGGTGACAGAATTTTCAGCATATTTTCATTTTTGGTTGAATTATTCTTCAAGTTCAATCATCTGTGGCATTCTGTCTATTTTGTACAAAAAAACAATTTCAGTAATATTTGAAGTTGACTACTGTGACTTTATATTCAATTTAAGGCATGTTTACAGTTCAGATAACTTGTTTTTTACAAACTGAGGAACAGTTTGAAATTGGTAATTGACAGCATGTATTTTTGCTTTCATTCACATTCAGTTATACTACCTGTATACATATCATTTACTGTTTTGCCTTTTTAGTATTGCTAATTCCTACAAAAAGTCATCGCTGATCATAGCATTACATCTGACAGTTTACAGGATGAAAAAATACAATATTCCTGAACATTCTCCTTTATTATCAGATGCATAACAGCACATTACTTTAAATAAAATAAACACCCGTTTACATTGTCTTGATGCAAAATGGCATATGAAACATCAATAAATACAGGTGCCAAGTCTTTACAAATGTATATAAACATTAATTGGTTTCGACAGTAACTAACCCACAACAATACAACATCTTTGCCAAAAAATAAACACAAATATTTGAAGTTGACTACTGTGACTTTATATTCAATTTAAGGCATGTTTACAGTTCAGATAACTTGTTTTTTACAAACTGAGGAACAGTTTGAAATTGGTAATTGACAGCATGTATTTTTGCTTTCATTCACATTCAGTTATACTACCTGTATACATATCATTTACTGTTTTGCCTTTTTAGTATTGCTAATTCCTACAAAAAGTCATCGCTGATCATAGCATTACATCTGACAGTTTACAGGATGAAAAAATACAATATTCCTGAACATTCTCCTTTATTATCAGATGCATAACAGCACATTACTTTAAATAAAATAAACACCCGTTTACATTGTCTTGATGCAAAATGGCATATGAAACATCAATAAATACAGGTGCCAAGTCTTTACAAATGTATATAAACATTAATTGGTTTTGACAGTAACTAACCCACAACAATACAACATCTTTGCCAAAAAATAAACATTTAGTAGAAAACGCAGCCCGAATACTATGCCTTTCTGAGTTGTCAATCTAAAGTAGGAATTACATTTTTGTCTGAAAAAGCCATTCAGTTCAGTGTGCAATTAAAAAGACATTAAAATCACATGCTAAATCAACCTCACATATGATTCATTACTGATTACATGGACAAATGTAATTACCAGAACAAGTTTGATCTCAGACACAGGTGGAGTTTCAGAAAAGAAACTTGATTACCTTATTAATGGCAATACACCCGGTCAAATGTGCCTATATGAACATCAACACTCAAATTTTTTCCTAGTTTTAAAATAACATTATGATGTGCATATCTAAAGTCTGTAGCAAACATTGCAGAGGCAAATCAATTCGAGGCACTTGGGCAAAGTTTCCTCATGTTCACTTTATAATCACGGTTATTTCATCTTCTGTACTTCCTGCAGTAGTTTCTGCGCCACCGCGTTGTTTGGCTCGAGTTTGAGCACACTGTTGAGATCTTCAATACAAGATTTCTTGTTCTAAGAGAAAGAAATGTATTACAATTTATAAAACAATCCACCAATTTTTACTAAAGACGTCATGAACTGCCTTTTTTTTGGTATTAGTATTTTTGTACTGTTCTTTGAGGCCCACTTATAATGTTATCAAGATTTTTACATCAAAAAACATCTTTAGAAGTAACATGGCTATTTTCTGTCCTGTTTTTAACCCCCCTTAGTTTGAATGGACGTGGTGGATTGTAGACTCGGAAGTAAACGCCCACTGCTATGACTGGCTAACAGTTGTGAATGTTTGACAGCCTACACAGCCTTCATACAGATGGACGCTGCTGTGATTTATGTTAAAAACGCATAAATACTCAAGATCATATCAACTGATCTGTAATAACAGACAAAGCAATAGTGACCACATAATAAAAAGTTACTCCCACTTGTGTGATGCGACATTACTGTCGGATCCAATGTATTCGCACAGCATTGTCTTTTAGTTTCTTCAATCTTTCTTCGATTTTCAATCTTTCTGAAAATCCAGCATCTTTAGAAGTAACATGGCTATTTTCTGTCCTGTTTTTAACCCCCCTTAGTTTGAATGGACGTGGTGGATTGTAGACTCGGAAGTAAACGCCCACTGCTATGACTGGCTAACAGTTGTGAATGTTTGACAGCCTACACAGCCTTCATACAGATGGACGCTGCTGTGATTTATGTTAAAAACGCATAAATACTCAGATCATATCAACTGATCTGTAATAACAGACAAAGCAATAGTGACCACATAATAAAAAGTTACTCCCACTTGTTTGATGCGACA